ATATAATTATATTAATTATTTTAATATTTAATTAATGCAAATTTCAGACTTTTTCATGTTCTGTAAATTGTATTTAAAACAAAGCTGCTGCTGCTGTACATCATTCTGTTTTCATAAACCCCACCCCCAAGGCCAATACTCTAGGGAAACACTTTTTTGAAGATGTTCTTAATAATACAATTGACTGTTAGTAACTCAGTCTAAAATGTTTGCATCTGTTTAATCAGATGTAATATATTATATACCTCTGTATAACAATGTTAATACTTTTGTAGTACAAAGTACAGTACACGTTTTCCTTATTTTATCAAAATTTGAACATTTTTGTTTCGGGCAGGTAACTTTTCATGTCGGGCAGGTAACATTTGTTGTCACCTGCCCGACAGGGCAGGTAAAAAAATAAAATCTTGTTGAACCCTGGCCTACAGTATTTTTACAGTCTTTATTTTACAGTTAAAATAAATGTTTATCAAACAAAGTCTAATGTTACAACTAATCAGGGATCCCTTTAAACACTCAACCATAGGGCTCTGTGACTTCTCATACAGGAAGAATTTAACAAACAAAATGGAAACCAGTAAAAAACTGGTTTATGCAAGTAGGTTAACCTCTTAGTTTTTTCTCAAAATACCATGCTGAAATGTAACTGAGTGTATCTCAGCATTTACAAATTCTACTTAAATAATCTTGATATCAAAATAAAGCTGGGAGATTTCATCAGAAGTTAAGTGTTAAAACAGCTGATATGGTTTTAGAGATATTGAGGATGGAACATAATTTAATTTTTTTTTCACTCTCACCCAACACACACAACATATTTAGGTATCTACTTTGACTTACTTTAAAAATAATGTCAATTTTTCCTTTACAGATTTGCAGTGATGCCATTTTGTACAGTTTGTTTACTTTCCGATTAAACTGCTTGTTGTTTGAACTGTTTGGTGGATGTAAAAATTATTTCCATGAGTTTTTAGCCAAGATTCTTAGGTTTATTTTGATGTCAAACACGTCCAGCTTCAACTGACAGATCTTAAGTTACCAGAAGTTAAAAGAAATAGAAAACGGAAAAAAACAGTTTTGTCCCCGGCTCAAGAGATTAAGTTTCGGAGGTATTTTGGCCACTGCCGCTCCCTGTACCTGGTCAGAACTCAGTGTGACCAATTTGACCTGATTTCTTAATAGTGAGACTAGAAAAAAATTCCAGTCGCACTGGTTCTGACCAGTCAATCATCTGGTTTGTGTCTGGGCTAAAAGTGAGGTAAATAGAACTACTTCCTAAATACCATCAGAATCTTAAATAATGAGTGTTTCTATCACTCCGCTGGACTTTTTGCACCTTTTTGACGTTACTTTACATTTTTCACATCTCATCTGTTGATACTCTTGGTTTTCTCTTATTTATAATTTTTCTTTTCTTTTTTTTTTGTTAGTCTCCTCTGGCATTCCCTGTGGAGGGCAACATAAGAACTTCATAACTCAGAGAAACATGTTTCATTGTGTTCATGACAATAAACACTTTGTCTCATTTATTAAATAAAACTGGGCAAAAAAATAAACAAACAAATTAAAAAAAATCAGAAACTGTGAAAAATTTCAAACACCTTGCAACAATGTCAGTCAAGTAGCAAAAACTTTAAAGTTGTTCTTTTTCAATCTCATTATAAAGTTTAAACTGCTGTAAATAGTTTTTGATGTAAAATGAACAATAAATGAAACAGAAATTATATAAAAAGCATTCGTAAAGCTGATTCGCGAAACAATTTCTTCTTAAAAATACATTCAGACAAGTCTTTCTTAAATAATGTGTAAAAAAAAGTCCATTATTTTAAAGATACTCACTCCTGTTATTGCTCAGGTTCATATATGCAGGAGCAAGTAACAGATTATTTACAGTAACGACTGGCCTGTTGGCTTCAAAAGCTGGACATCAAGATTGTAAAAATTGATTAAGTGGGTCTGATTCATTTATTTATTTAAAATACGACTGTAACTTTTGTTTATTTTAACCTTAAAAACATACGGAGACAGAGCTTGCAGGAACTACTCACCAGGTCAGCATACTTCTTGCAGAGACCTGCAAGCTTTTCCTCTGGAGTGCTCAACGTGTTGAGGGTCTGCATGAGAAGAGTGATCTCTTTACCTAAGGAAAACAAGCGGAGTTGAACAGCAAAAAAAAAAAAAAAAAAAAAGGTTCCGTTAGATAAAAAAAAACAACCAAATTCAGAATTAATTGAATTATTTAAACGTAATCAATATGGAGAGT